TCTCTGGGTATTTTTTTTTTTTTTTTTTTTTTTAATCTGAGGCATTTTTCGGCCGGGGTAGATGTTCATACAATACAAGAACTATGGTAGCCCTTGGGGGTTAGTCGATGGCCCTGCAACTGCTAAGCAGATGCCTGCAGATGTAGCAGCCGTTTCAGCGTCTCGCCGAGGGCTGTATCCATCTATCCACCACCACCACTTCCATTTCCAGTCCATGCCCGTTGGCCGTTGGCCTGCCTTCAGCTTGAGCTGCAGTAGCTGGGCACCAATTGGCATCGGAGCGTGTACTGCACGGCTCCCGCCCGTCGTGCATGTGTGTTGTAGTGAGGTGCGAAAGGGTGGTCTGGCGTTCTTGGGTCGGGACGGTAGAGACTGGCGGTCGCTGTCGCGGCCGCGGTCGTGGGCAGGAGGTCGGGACGGCGGAGTAGGAGCTCGGGCGTGGTAACTCGAACTGCAACCAGAGAGGAACGGGACCGTCTCCTCGGTTCTGTCCCCTGCATTACCTCCTCCTCCTCCTCCTCCTCCTCCTCCTCTGTCTGAAAGATAGCATACTGTGCACATGCGGGGACCACCACCAAGTAGACGGTGTCCCTACCCGACCATAGACAGCCAACGCTAGCTGGCTATGGCGATAGACTCGTTGCATGAGCCTCCGAGGCGATGTAGCAGTGTCTGCTTCAGCCGCCGCACAGTCGGCCGGGGAGTGTCGCAACTTGTCCCAGCTGGTTCCAACTCGTCCCGGCTGGTCCCGGCTCGGTCCGGCTGGTCCCGGCTGGTCCCGCCCCGCACGTCTGACCACCTATGGTGAGGAACCACGTGTGTCTATGCACAGCGGCTGGGATCGGTGGCAAGATCCAAGGGCGTACGCATACTACCTACCGGTCGTAGCACTTTCTTGACGGCATACCTGCAGTCGGATACCTTGGAGGCAAGGAAGGACACGTGTCAGCGTGTGGTGCGCTAATAATTAGGTGATCAAGGCACGAAGCACGTGTCAGAGAGTGGTGCCCTAATTAGGGGATGAATGCATGATGCACGTGTCAGCGTGTGGCGGCCTAATTAGGTGATGAACGCATGATGACCAGCAGCAGCAGCAGCTAGTCATCGGCATCATCCGTGGGATGGTTGAAGGAGAGATTGAGCATATCTCCGAATGAATGTTTATTTATACATACATATATGTATATATATACGTGTGTTTACCTTTCTATGATTGCCATTTTTTTAGCAATTACATCAATCAATCAATGCGTTCTTGGCCCGGAGGCGCCTCCCCTTCTTGCCGGCCGTGGCGGCGGTCGTTGCCGAAGGTGCCTCCTTCTCGACCGTTCGACCGGTCGTATCACATTCTTGATTGGTAACGACCGGTCGTATCACATTCTTGATTGGTAACGACCGGCAGACCGGCGCGCGCGCGCGTTGATTGGTAATGGTCCTACTACTACACTGGGGTCCCGCTCCGCCCGTTGAGGAGGCCCGGCGCGCGCGCGCGGGTGACGATCGGCGGTAGCACATGTCAGTAGCAGCAGGAGGAGGAGGAGGAGGAGGAGGAGGAGGAGAAGGAGGAGGAGGAGAGCGAAGGCCAAGGTCGTAATTGGCCGGCCGGGGGCGTTGTGCGCTCGAGCGCACCGAGCTGGGGGAAGAGGGGGGAGGTCGCAGCGCGGGGTGGGCGGTGTTATGGTTGCGGTCGGCTCGGCGCGCGGTGCGGCGGCCCTGGTCTCGACGAGCAGGCGCAGGAAGAGGGACGTTCCGAGCTTGCCGTGGGCAATTTCCGGGTACTGGGAAAATGGGCGCGGCGACGGAGATCAGACACGTGGCCTGCAGAGGGGGGATGGAGGAAGAGGAGAGAGCGGAGGACAGGAGTTGACTGCTGCTGGGAGAGGGGGTGGTGAGGTGTACGGGAAGTGGGGTGTGAGGGAAGGGGTGGCTGGGGCGTGGGAGGGGGAGGAGGGGGCAGATGGCCATGACGTCGGGGAGAAGGGACCGACGATGGGCTATGGAGGTGTAGGTGTAGGTGATGCTGATGGCTATGACGGTCTGACGATGGGAGGGGTGGGGTCTAGCAGGAATGGGGTCTGCGCGCCGCCGCAGCATGAGAATGGAGGTCGTAATTGGCGGGAAGAGGGGGGGCATAACGGCTGGAAGGGGGGCTGTCGAGAAGAAGAAGAAGAAGAAGAAGAAGAAGAAGAAGAAGAAGGGGGAGGAGGAGAAGAAGAAGAAGAAGAAGAAAAAGAAGAAGAAGAAGAAGAGGAGGGGGAGGAGGAGGAAGAGAGGGAGAGGGAGGATAGGAAGGGCAAAGGTAGCAGCAGGAGGACTGGCCAAATGGCACTCAGGAGGAGGATGCAGGAAGAGAGAGGGTGGCGGCGGAATCACTTGGGCGCCAGGGTAATGGACGCTGCGAGTAGACCGGCGCGAGCAGCAGGAACAGGCAGGTGGAGAAATGGCTGCTTTCCCGCGTGGGGAGCGGAGGCACATGATGACGTCAACAATGATGAGGTCGGCGGGAGCGAGGAGAAGGAGAAGAAACGGAAGAGGAGGCGGTTGGATGGTGAGGAAGACGGCGATGGTGGTGGTGATGAGGATGGGCAAGAAGAAGAAGAGAAGGGAGAGGAGGAAGAGAAGCGCGAAGACACGTTCGGCGGGGCGGAGGAAGCGACGGCGCAAGAGGAAGGGGAAGGGGAAGGGGAAGGGGAAGAGGAAGGGGAAGGGGATGGGGGGGAAAGGGGGCTTGCGCAGAACTGCCCCCCCAAAGAGGAGGAGGAGGAGGAGGGGACGAAGGCGACAGAAGAGAGCGCGGGAAGGGTGACCAATCAAGAAGCAGGGGGCAAGGGTTCAAGACCAGGAGGAAGCGGCAGCGGGTGCTGCGAGGAGGGGGCGAATATATCGAAGACTGAAGGAGGGGTAGAAGGGGGGGGGGGGGGGGGGGGGGGAGGGGGAGTGTAAGAGGAGGTGGGGGCATGACTGACGAAGGGGGGAGGGGGGGCGGAAGGGGGGCAGGGGGCGGAAGAGGAGGAGGAGGTGCGGGTGTCAAGAAGAGGAAATTGCCGGCGCAAGCAGAGCCAGGGGTAGAGGCAGGGGTAGATGCAGAAGAAGCAGCGGCGACGAAGAGGCCGAAGAAGAAGGGTGGATGGAAAAGAGTAGGGAGAAAAGGGGCGAAGAGGGGCAGTGGAGGGGGTAGATTGGTTGGGGGAGGAGCGGCGGCCGCTGTGGCAGCAGCGGCAGGAGGAGGAGGAGGAGGAGGAGTAGGGGCTGCACACCCTAATGCTGAGCCTGGGCAGACCGGGGACATGGTGGTGTTACGCCCTGCGCCGAAGTATCTGATCGAGCCAGAGGAGAAACCTGGAGTCGGGATCTCCTTCTCCAAAGTACATAAGGCCTCGCAGATTCAACTCAGTGGATCGGGCATGAAGGCAACGAGTTGGAAAGGGTACAGAATGGTACGGGCTACTAGAGGGGTCATATCTGGGTCGTGGTACTTCGAGATCAGGGTCGATCATTTGGGAGAGACGGGCCATGCGCGGGTAGGGTGGTGTAATTTGAAGGCTGACGTGGAAGCGCCAGTCGGATACGACAAAAATGGGTATTCTTATAGGGATTTGGAGGGGGTGAAGGTGCACGAGGGGTACAGGACGGAGTACGGGGAAGCATATCAGGAAGGGGATGTGATTGGCTGCATGATCCACTTGCCAAACGGGGAGCAATACGCGCCCAAGCCTGTGCAATTGGTGGAGAGGAGGGGTTGCCTTTACGTGATAGAGACCGAACCAGAGCCGGAAATGGTGGTCCCAGGTGAGCGATCTCCCCTCCCTCTCCCTTTTTCTCTTTCTCTCTCTTTCTCTCTCTTTCTCTCTCTCTTTCTCTCTCTCTTTCTTTCTCTCTCTTTCTCTCCCTCTTTCTCTCTTTCTCTCCCTCTTTCTCTCTCTTTCTCTCTCTTCTCTGTGTCCCGCCTTCCGTGCGCACGCCTTTCGTGTCTCCTCTCTGTTCTTCCATGTGGGTGGAGTTCGTCAGGATTTCGTTTTGTTCCTTTTCTTCCCTCCGACAGGATATCGTATCGTTCTTCCATGTGTGCGCCACGCATTGCGACGGTCGATGATGAGTGTATTCTCCATCCGCTTCTGCATATCCATCTCCTCCTGCTCCTCCTCTTCGTTTTTCTTCTTCTTTGTGAGGCTGATGTGTATCCTCCTCCCCCCTTCTTCTTCTTCTTCTTCTTCTTCTTCTTCTTCTTCTTCTTCTTCTTCTGCTGCTGCTGCTGCTGCTGCTGCTGCTGCTGCTGCTCTTTTTTTTCTTTCTTCCTCCTCCTTCTTTCTTCCTCCTTCTTTCTTCCTTTTCTTCCTGCTTCCTTCTTTCTTCCTTCTTCCTTCTTCTTTTTTTTTCTTCTTCTTCGTTGTGAGCCTGATGCGTACATTATCGTCCTTTCTTGCTTCTTTTTTCCTTCGTCCTCTTCTTTCGTCTTTCTTTTTTCTTCTTTTGTCACTTCTTCTTCTTCTTCTTCTTCTTCTTCCTCCTCTTCTTCTTCTTCCTCCTCTTCTTCTTCTTCTCTGCTGTCTGGTGGCAGAATTGTTGTTTGCTGTGTGGATCGTTTAAATTTTATCCGCCTGCCGTTTCCTCTCTCTCTCTCTCTCTCTCTCTCTCTCTCTTGACATTCTCTCCCCCTTCCTCACTTTCTCTTCTCTGTCACCCCCCCCCTCTCCCACTCGCGCTTGCCTTCCCATTCCTCTCTCGCCCTTCTCTCCTGCGATTTGTTTGTAGCAGTGGAGGGCCTCTGTCTCTCTCTCACTCCCCTCCATTCCTCTCCCTCCCTCTCTCTCTCTCTCTCCCTTTCTCGATTGTGCCCGTCGTCCTTGCACAATGACCATCCATGCGGAATCTGTTTTCTGTGTACCTGTTCTTCTTTGCAATGCGGCTTACTGGCTCCAAGTAACTCAGCAGAGAAGAGAAGAGGTGTAGGGAAAACTCCGTCTCCCGCGATTAGCACTGTGCAGAGTCCATAATTCCTCTTCTTTTAGAAGGGGGGAGGGTTTTGCACCCAGTGCAAAGGAGAGAGAGAGTGTAGAGAAGCGTTGAAGAAGAAGAAGAAGAAGAAGAAGAAGAAGACGAAGAAGAAGCGTTCAAGAAGAAGAAGAAGAAGACAGCAGCTGGAAGAAGAAGAAGAACAAGTCCAAGAAGAAGAAGAAGAAGAAGAAGAAGAAGAAGAAGAAGAAGAAGNAGAAGAAGAAGAAGAAGAAGAAGAAGACAGCAGCTGGAAGAAGAAGAAGAACAAGTCCAAGAAGAAGAAGAAGAAGAAGAAGAAGAAGAAGAAGACGAAGAAGACGAAGAAGAAGAAGAAGGAGAAGAAGAAGAAGAAGGAGAAGAAGAAAAAGAAAAGGAAGGAAGAATGGTGAGAATAAGGGCCATCTGCCATGCATACACACATCTAAAAATTAGCAGCACCGTAATGAGTACATGCCTCAGCAACGGGCACATTCCCTGACGCGCGTTTAGATCGGTTGTGCGGGGATCATCCTCAGGGGACTTCCCTCACTACCCCATGCTTTACGGCCCACCAGACCAAACCAACCTTAGGAGGAGGAGGTGGAGGAGGAGGAGAAAGAAGAAGAAGGAGAAGAAGAATAAGAAGAAGAAGAAGAAGAAGAATAGAGACAAGCGAGGCCAAACACTAGCTTTCCTCTCTCCCGCATCCACCTGTCGAACCTCCACCTGAGCATAGAGGGTCATTCTGGCCTTACCCTCCGCAGTTATACACGTCCACCCAGCCTGACACATCTTCGGCTGGGTGGACGCGACCTCCACGTTATCTCCACGTGGAGGTCGCGTGTTCAATCCTTGGATCGGCTGTAACTGTCTGACTAGAGGAAGAGGAAGAAGAAGAAGAAGAATTGCATTCTCACTCCAGACAACAATCTGTCCGTCCGCACCGATCCAAGGATCGAACACGCGACCTCCACGTTAAGAGGTAAACACTCAACCAAACGGCTAAGTGGACTGGGAAGAAGAATTGAATTGAAGTAGCGAGGCCAATCGCCACGCGTCCATGTCCATAGGGAAAGCATGAAAGCACCTACACGGACAACAAGCTCAACGCGCACATTCTCCGGCGGTGGACCATTATGGTCATACACCACAACTGGTTTTCAACAGCGTCAAGCTGATAAGCAATTGTAACCAAATGGGAGGGAAGCAATATAACATTGACGCTGATAAGCCAGTTTTTGAGGTAGACAGACATTTTTTGGCTGCTGTCAAGCCACAAGCATTTTTTGGTAGATCTACCCGCAGATCCGACGATTCGATCACCACTGGAAAGCTAGCTCTGATCTGAAGAAGAAGAAGAATTGAAAAATTCAAGAAGAAGAAGAAGCATTGCATCCCCAAGAGCCGATCCCAAGAATTGGACACGCTCCGTCCCACTTGGGTGTTGCGCGCTGAACCAAATGGCTTAAGCTGCCTGTGGTAAAAGTGAGCGCGTCACTTCACCCCATAATCGATTTCTCCGCGTCCCACTCAGGGGGTGGCTGGCCACCACACAGGACACAGGGCGTCGAGGCAGCAAGCGAGCAAACAATGTACGACACGTCGGAGGTTGCTACGCTACCGTCTGCATTCGAATAGAACGCCGGGTCATTGTAGCTGTATCTAGACCGAAAGTTCCACCAAATACAGCTATAATGACAGGGCGTTTATCCGGGTGAAGACGCTAGCAAGAAGGAAGAATTGCATCCACGAGCCGATGGCAAGAATCGAACACGCGCCCTTCCTCTTGGGAGTTGGACGCTTAACCAAACGACGACGACGACGACGACGACGAAGAAGAAGAAGAAGAGGAAGAACAGGAAGAAGAAGAGTAAACAACAGTGGCCGTAGATTGCTTCCCGTACAAGCATCGACGGATATGGATTACTTCTCTCTCCGCATGTTTAGCTCTCAGTTTGAAACGAGAGAGAAGAGGGAGCGAAAGAAGAAGAAGAAGAAGAGAGCTGAAGAAGAGAGCAGAAGAAGAAAGGGCAGAGGAAGAAACAAGAAGAACGAAGGTGAAGACGAGAAGAAAGAAGAAGAGAGAAGAAGGAGAGAGAAGTATTATGGATCGAAGAAGAAAAAGAACGGAGGCTTGAGCGTAATGGAGGTGAAGAAGATTTTTTACTTGTATCCAACATGAAGGCCAAAACGTAGAGGGAAAGAATGCGTGATCGTGGCTGTTCCGAACCGGGAAGATAGCTTTTATACATTCATTATTTATTCATAGCTTTTATACATTCATTATTTATTCCCCTTAGAGAACGACATAGGCCAGACAAGGGGGGTTAGGGTAGTACTTTATTACTTGTGGAATTCTCCCCCCAAAAAAAGATAGGAGAAAAAAAAAAAAAACCTGTATGTGGTAATTCCCAGGACTCGCCTGTCCTGGCTCCGTTCCTTGTCCCGCCTACCGCCTTCCCCCGAACATAACGCACGCTGGTCATTTCTGTACCGAACCTGAAAAGTGCGCTGTGTTCGGGTCAAGACCGCATCATTCTCTCTGTGGCTTCATCCGTTATATTATTTTCTGCTCGCGTACTGCATCTGCTGCCAAACCAGACACGTGGCGAGAGCCACGACGAGGCCACGTCTGCACCACGTGGCAACAGCCCCGACTGCGCCACGTGGCAAGCAATGGGCAGAGAACCAATGAAGTGGAAGGAGATAGAGACTGGTACACTTTCCTTTCTCCGATGTCCGATTTTTTTTTCCCGATTTCTCCGACTTTTATATTTTCCGATTTTGTCCCGTTTTATCCGTTCGTTTCCGTTCCCTCCCCCCCCGATCCCCCCCCGATCCCCCCCCCTCGATTTCCCCCGATTTCCCCCGATTTCCCCCGATTTCCCCCGATTTCCCCCGATTTTCCCCGATGTTTCAGGGTTTTTTTTTGCGGATGCGGCCGCCTGTTTTGTTTGAGGATCGAACGGCGGTTCTTGGGGAAGGAGGTGGAGGAGGTGGAGGCGAAGGGATGGGACGTCCATGACGTCAATAATTCTTCTAATTTGACAGCCCGCAACGTGGGTCTTCTTATCTGGTGTTGTCATCATATAAGATTGACCATGTACTCACATGTGGGTTGTGTGTGTGTGTGTGTGTGTGTGTGTGTGTGTGCATGTTACTTTGCCCTTGTCTCTTGATTGAAAAAAGAAAAAGAAAAAAAAGCATGCATGGCATTGCATGCATAATAACGTGATAAACTCAGCGGACATTAATTAACGAACTGTTCAGATGAGTAAATTGATGAGGTTCACTGTTCAGATAAGAGTTTTTTTTTTTTTTTTTTTTTTTTAATAAATAACTAAGACCTCACAACAACCCCGGTGCTGGATTTTGGGGGGGAGAGGGGGGGGGATAGTGCTGGAAAGTGGGTCCAGCATCACATAGAGAACCTTAAAAAAACAAAAAAAGTTGCAACACACACACACACACACACACAGACAAATTTGCACACGTGATGCAGTGCATGGAAGTACGTGGACGTGGTGGGCCTTGCACCGTTCATAATGCATCAGTAAACTGGTCGTTTCATCAGAACGGTACAATCATTTATAATATAATATGCAAGATTATAAGGTAAGGCTATTTCAATTTTGGACCTGCACATCTGGGTTGAAAAGTCGTCGTCGTTCTGGTGGCGGCCTACACACACCTCCGCCCTCCCCTTTTGTGCTACTAGCAAATACATACGAATGAGCATCGTTGAGAGAGCAGATGACCCGAAGGTCGGAAGTGAAATGAATGGAAGTATGAAGATGAAGGACAGACACAAAGAACTAAGTATAAGCTGAAAATCTGAAGTGAAATGAACAGTAGTATGAAGATCTGAAGAGAAATGCATAAGAGCATACCTTCCCTTTTACTCTGCCACCTGCTATAACGTGCAAGTGGGCCGTTAATAAGGCGCACGGGGATGTGGCCAGCTGCCGCTCAACCACCATCAACGTGGGCAGCCTTGTACGTGTGAGGCATAGTGAAAGAGGAGCTGCTGCCCCGAAGAAACCCCAGCTGAACACAGTTCTAAACACGTCTATTATGATTCACGTTGCTTGCTAAAGAGGTGAAATTCTTTAATTGTTGAGCTGGCTCAACTCGCATCTGCTCGTCTGGATGGAATAGGGGCCGTTGTGGTGCAATCTCTTGAAAGCACAGACGCACACACCCACACACCCGCACACCCACACCCACACCCACACCCACACCCACACCCACATCCGCACACAAACAGTCTGGCACAGTCATGCTTTTTTTTTTGCTTTGGGGTTGGTTATAGCGAAAATGACAATACACACAGAACAGAATCACACATTCTTTGTTGACAGTTTGCAGCACACACACACACACACAAATTTGCACACACGATGCACTCTACAAGTGCAATCAGCCCAAACTGCATCCTTGGTTGGACGGATCACCATGGGATCCGAGTGAGTACAATCAGTTTGAACTGGCGATGCGAACAATCAGGACAAGCAAAAGCACTGGTGTTGCGAATGCACTCTTAAGTGTATTTGTGCAATTGGATATCCCTCCTTGATTGTGGCGCGCTTTGGTATCCTCTTTGGTATAATGGCAAGCAGGAAGCCAAGTTGGTTGCATGATGACGTGTGTCAATTTGAGTTTCGTATCGAGTCCTGTCCATGGTTTGTGTAGGTGTGGGCTGTGGAGGCTGAAGTAAGACCAGTAGACTTGACTAAGGGTTTAATATGAGATGGAAATGTGCGCTCTGCCTCTCGCATAGCAAGGAACAGATCCAGGTCCATGTGCATGGAACTCACAATTGTACATGGCGGTGATTATTTGTGTGTGTCGTTTGGAATCCATGTGGGAGCAGACAGTAAGATCATCTTCTTCAAAAATGGGGTGTTTCAAGGAGTGGCATTTGAGAACATCACTGGTGGGCACTACTTCCCGGCTGCATCGGTGTTTACTCTTCCCTCACAGACAGAAGGATGCACTGTGACTCTCAACTGTGGGCCGCGGTTTCAATGCCCACCCCAGATACCAGAGCACATTGTGCAGCCACAGCCAATGGCAGCCGCCCCCAAAGTACCGCTGACTGTCAGTGATCCAGGGGAAACGACAGAAAATCATTCAGGGGAAGGAAACACAGCAGCAGCAGCAGATGCAAATGGTGAGCAGATTGAGGGAAATGGGCTATCAGGTCCTGCAGTGCCAGGGTCTAATGCAATGGGGGAGATGACAAGAGTGCGAGAACCAGCATCACACGGAGGAACTGGCGGTCAGGAAGGAGTGGAGGTAGGATCGAATCGATGTGTGCGCAATAGAGATACCAGGAACGGGGCTGATGATGCTGTGCCTTCGAAGTCGGTGAAGAAGAGGCGGCGATGGACGTGCGACGGCATGGATGTAGAAAGCAAGGAAGGAGGAAGAGTGTATGAGAACGGAAGCGGTCAGGGAGAAGCAGAACGGCAATCGAAGGGACGAGGTTGTCCTTCCGGAATTGTGACTGAAGACCTCTTTGCGAGGAGTAGAGGGCTGGCATCAGGCTGGAATGGAGGAGAAGTGCAGCCAAATAACGGGTTCGAGGGCACTGGGTCAGGTCACCCGGGGTCGGGTGGCGGCAATCCTTTATGGAATGAACAACCGAACATGGAAGTGGGAGATGTAGGTGATGATGGCAGGTCAAATCTGGCGAATGTTGGTTCGATGTGGGCGCCGCCAGTTGTGAAAAAGGAACATGGAAATGACATAATGAGGCAGCAGGGTAACCTGGACACGTCAAAGGTTTCACAGATGTGTGTTGTTTCAAGGACTGTGCAAGGCCAGGTGCATGGAACGGAAAGGGTGAGGGGAGTTAAAATGGAGGCGGGGGAATTCCTGGGACAAGTACCCCTACCATGCGAGGAAAACGGAATGGGACAGGAAGGTGGGCAGGGAAGAGGGACCCGGGAAGGGAGAGGAAGGGTGTCAGGGAGGGGAAGGGGTATGCAGAGGGGGCAAGGCAATCCCGTAGCATCGAGGACAAGTTTAGCGAGTGGGAGAGGGAGGGGTAAGGGGAGAGGGCAGGCGAGGGGCAGGGGAAAAAGAACTCATACGGACGTAATGACATCGAGAATGACCTGGGATAGAGGGACCGGCAGGGGAAAAATAGTACTGCAATGCGGCAGAGGGTGGCCAGGCAGTCTGCCGGTCAATGGGGAGTACAATGGTTGGGGACCTGCTCAGGCTGAGGCCAACAACGAAGTGGCTCCAAGGCAACATGGTTGGTGAGCAAACGGGCGGTCGAATGCCAACAGGCTGCAGGGGAACAACATTGGGAGAGGGAGGGAATGACATCCAATCCTATTTCGACTCTGCGAATGTGTTCCTCTGGGGAATTATGTGCTTGGAAGGGGGGCATAAACTCAGCACCAAGGGGGATGGAGAGGGCACAAGCTTGGGAAAAGAATCAGCGCGTGCCGGTCAAATGCCCCGACCAGATGGAGCCGAACAGCCTTGGGAGAGAGGGAGAATGGCATCCAATCCTATTTCGACTCTGCGGATGTGTTCCTCTGGGGAATTATGAGCTTGGAAGGGGGGCATAAACTCAGCACCTAGGGGGATGGAGAGGGCATAAGCTTGGGAAAAGAATCAGCGCGTGCCGGTCAAATACCCCGACCAGATGGAGGCGAACAGCCTTGGGGGGAGAGAGAGGGAATGGCATCCAATCCTATTTCGACTTTGCGAATATCTTTCTCTCTGGGGAATTTTATGCTTGGAAGGGGCACAAACTCAGCACCAAGGGGGATGTAGAGTGCATACGCTTGGGACACGAATCAGCGCGTGCCGGTCAAATGCCCCGACCAGATGGAAGCGAACAGCCTTGGGAGAGAGAGTGAATGGCATCCAATCCTATTTCGACTTTGCGAATATGTTCCTCTCTGGGGAATTTTGTGCTTGGAAGGGGCACAAACTCAGCACCAAGGGGGATGGAGGGGTCATGAGCTTGGGAAAGGAATCAGCGCGTGCCGGTCTGAAGGTAAGAAACATACAACAGATCAGCATAGGATACATTTGTTAATCATTAAACACCAAACCTGAAGTTTTTTCGACAGTTCCGAGAAGAGTTAGTTCCTTGGTAGAACTAGGTGTTTAACAAAGGTGTGAGTGCTTGACGGGGACATACAACCACTCTGTTCCCCCTATGGTTTTTTTTTTTTTTTTTTTTTTTTTTTTTTTTACCTTGTGTTTTTATGTGAGGTTTGAACTCACGGCCTTCACATTACGGCATGTTTTCTTCCTCGAAAAAATATCCATGTTTTTTCGAATGGGTGGGGGTGGGCTGCTGACAGTTATTTGTTGTGGGTAAACGTAGAGAGAAGGATTGGCCATGTGAGGGGTTCGAACTCACGACCTTCACATTTCGGCATGTGTTCTTGGTGAAAAAAAAGGGCCATGTTTTTTGGAATGACTGGGGAGTGGGTTGCTGACATTTATTTGTTGTGGGTAAATGTAGGGAGAAGGATCGGCCATGTGAGGTTCAAACTCGTGACCTTACATTTCGGCATGTGTCCGTCGTCAAAAAAAAAACATCCCTGTTTTCCGGAATGAGTCGGGAGTGGGCTGCTGACATTTATTTGTTGTGGGTAAATGTAGGGAGAAGGATCGACGAATGATCAGGGGACCATGAGAAGCTGGGGTTTTGATGTTATTGTGGTATTGCTGGTGTGCAGGTCATGGGCCAGGTGGGAGGTGCGGGTGCATGTCCAGCTCCAGCTGGGTTTTGTGCACAAAATAAAAGAGTTCGTAGTCCCGTTAGATCCAAACCTCTCGTTATTCAAAGTTCAAATCTTTGTTTATCTGACTGTACGAGGCTGTATCATAGCATGGAAGGAGACATTGGATTCATCAAGTGAGAGAGAGAGAGAGAGAGAGAGAGAGAGAGAGAGAGAGAGAGAGAGAGAGAGAGAGAGAGAGAGAGAGAGAGAGAGAGAGAGAGTCCAAATTGAGTGGCCACTGTTTTTTTTTTTTCCCCCCTTTCTGGAATGCGACGGAACCAAGTGAATGGGCGTTCCACGGCTTCACTCCGACTTGAAAGAAGATGGAGGGAATGACATTTTTCATTCGTTCGTAGGGTAAAATTATGTAATAAATCGTTGGATCCTAGTCTTGGCGGTCAGCTACATGTAGTCAGATATCGTTTCCCGTCACTCCCATCAGTTGCGTCAGTAAGTGATGATTGGTTTTGTTTTGAAACTTCCGAATCTAAGAAGGGGTGCTCATCCGTCCCATTTCAGCAGTTTTGGATTTGATGGTTTTAAATGCAACTTTCCTGCAATAAGACAACATTGTCCGTTGACTCTCTCTGTGTGTGTGTGTGTGTGTGTGTGTGTGTGTGTGTGTGTGTGTGTGTGTGTGCACTGACCAAAAAAAAGAAGAAGAGAACAGTGGAAATGATGGTGGTGAAGAAAAGAAGTGTACTTGACTACCCCCTGGCTGTTGGTGCATCCTCACAGACGATGGTGACAACCGGGGATGCTTTCACACACAGGTAATGATGGAGGAGAATGGCGGAGAGACATCAAGGGCAAACCCACTGCTGCTCTGGCGGAGCAGTGGGGAATTAGAAAGCCCTCTAGCTGCCTTTTGCCAGCCTGTCTTACATATTGATTGGGACCATTGATGTTGAATAATTGAGGACCTGCTTGCAAAAGAGCATTGGGGGCTGTTAGGGATCACACATTGCCACCAGGGGATCTCCCTGAGCCGTCCTGCAAAGCCTGCCAGGTTACCCGAGCGGTTGCCCAGGGCACCAGCCCAGCTGAGCTACCTGGCTCGTAACCCAGCCTCACAAGCTATCGCCAGCACTCACACACCCGTGCATGCGCACACCAGATGAGAACAAAGCGAAAAACGCACTCATAACATTTCCTGCTGGGCGCAGATCCAGGAAGGGAGGGGGGGGGGGGGATGTAAGGAACATGGAATGAAACAAGCCTCTGTGTTTGTGTGTGTGTGGTGTGTGGTGTGTGTGTGTGTGTGTGTGTGTGTGTGTGTG